GAACATTAACTGTAACTGATGGCAATATTTGCCTTGATTTAAAAGTCTACTAGACAAAGGGAATCTCCTTATTTTATTTTAATTTTTTAGGCTAATTAGAATAACAGACTGCTGCTTTTTTCAAAAGAAAAAAAGAAATGTAAAGAAATACTTTAGGGATTTCTAGCTCTATTTTTTTAATCCTGTAATTTTGGGTAATAACACTATAAATTTAAACTGTATACATAAAAAAATATCTATGACATTTCCTTTTCCCCAAGATAAATATTTCTGTTACTTTCATCATGATAAAAACATCAGATTATGAAGAAATAAACTCTGAAACAAGCGTATGAAGCAACCATCCCCCAATGTCTTGGGAAGAATTTAAGTAAAATAGAAAATGCATATGGGGAGGGCAGATCAAATAATTTTTCAGGTTCTGTGTTGTGTATAAATAGCATTTCAGCCTGTTCCCGAAATAGCTTTAGATCCCCAGCTTATTTTAAAATTAAACTGAGTGAAACAATTCCATGGTGCATTTTAAAAAGAATTGTGCATGTGGGTAATATTAACCAGTGTGCAGGTCACCTGAGCTGAATTTAGAAATTGAAGAAAGGCTTTGAAGCATTTGCTTTCTGCTAACGAGATCTGCATTCTCGTCTCTGCAGCAGTTACATAACCGCTTTCTGCAAGTGCTGCTGAAGATAGTCTGAGGTCAAGCTCAGATGATGTGCACAGATACAGTTTAAGCCTATGACATAAGCAGTAGGCGTGGTTAGGCTCTGCTACATTCTTTTCCCTTTCTCCCCACCTTTCGCAGGTCCGTGCTGAACAACTTGCTCTTGATGCAAGCTCTGCATTTTAGCTGTGGGAGAATGCCTGGAGCTAGGCAGTAAAAACTGCTCAAATTCAGTCATTTAATTACTTTAAGCGGGCTGCTGCAAATCTTTATTTGTAACCTTAAAGCCACAGCTTTGATACTTAAACTGTTTGCTTTTTTATTAAATATATACGGTACTTGGACTCACAGATTTTTTTCCTTTTGAAAATACCTGCTGTCTCTGCGAATTTGGGTTGCCTAGTGTTACCTGAGTATTATCATTGAATCACTTAAATTGGTTTATTTGGGACCCTTCCCCTTGAAAAAAAAACCCTGAAGATTTTTTTCTCTCTCTTTGTTTGGTTCACCAACTTGCAGATGAGATCACAGCCAGCTTTCGTCGTTTTGGCCCATTGATTGTAGATTGGCCTCATAAAGCTGAAAGCAAATCGTATTTTCCTCCTAAAGGTAACTTTTGTTACTTCATGTATCCTTTCCTTCTCTAAAATTATTTAGAACAAATAACAGTTTCTATAAAAGCTATGTTAGTTGAAAGATGGTATTATCCCTCCTCATGAAAAGATTTTCTTAGTGCTAGGGCATTTTCTTAATAGGAAGGCAGTGGGCTCATCATTGGATCTGTTTAAATAGGGGCTGGATAGTCATCTGCCATAGTTTCTTTAATTCTGGATTCCTGCATAGAGCACAGAATTGGATGTGATAGTATGAACCTTGCAATTCTATGATTCATGGAGTGAATTTTATCATTTGAGATTTTAACATGGGTGTCTCTTCAACACATTTTCTATTACATACCACAATCACAAAAGTATATTTTAATACTACTGCTAAACATAAAGTAATATGAAGTGATCATTAGTCCACCTTTTTCTTGTTTGAAGTGTTTTGTCATTGCTGTTTTGATTTCATTTTAGTTCTGATCTTCTAGTTGGCACTTTTTGTCTATTTTTTACCTTTTTTTTACTTTGAATTTTTTAATCTACTGTTCAACATGCTTCCCTTTCTGTTTTTCCCCCTCTAATTTCTTTAGTTTCTTTAATCCCCCTTCTATTTCATCTCTGTAGAGTAAAGCAGTGACATTCAGATTAAATTTCATTCTAAGGAAGAAACTGATGAAGTGTTGTAATTTATTTTTTTATCCCTTTAATAATAGCATTTTGGTATAGCTACTCCTGCTATTTTGAAAAATGATCTCCCCTTTTTTAAGTATGCCTCCCTGATTTTCCATAGTGAACAAATCATGTTTGTTTCTTCTGTGTCTAGGATATGCCTTTTTGTTGTTCCAAGATGAAAGCTCTGTACAGGCTTTGATTGATGCATGTATTGAAGAGGACGGAAAACTCTACCTGTGTGTTTCCAGCCCCACGATTAAAGATAAACCAGTATGTGACTTTGATATATATGAAGTTTACAAAATTATGTGTATAAGTATTATTCATATACTAGAGAAGCATGTATGTCCATGGTTTTTCAGTCAGGAGGAACAGGATTTGTTTTTCCTTTCTCCTTGAACTATTGAGTCTCAGGCACTACATAACTAATGGCTAATTGTTGCTTATCAGACTGCAAGTTCAGGGTCATAATTCCTACGTGCACTATACTTTACTGTTGGGTCTCAATGCCGTCTCTCTCAATGTGGATTATTTTTGAAGTTCTTCCATACACATTTAGTCCTTACTTCTCTGTACAAGCCAAAATCTGGACAAAGGAAAGGGAGAATCATAAAGGGAAGAATTTTGGGAATTCTTTTTGGGAGGGAGTATTAATTCTATCTATAGAAGTTAATTAGTTGGGAGGGAGAGCTGATTTTGTCTGTAGTAGGGTCATGATAAACTAAAGATATAGATTCTATTATAGTTGCTATGGAGGCTTTGTAGAACACTTAAATGGTTATTTTGATGGTCAAGCAGGTGTTGGGCATCTTCAGCCTGCAGACTAAATACCAGGGCTCTGCAGCTCTTTGAATCTGAAGGAAAAATGATGCAATAGAAACATGACCAGGACTTGTGAACAGCCCCTTAAAGCAATCCCTCTTCTCAGCAATTCCTTTCAGTACCTTCATGGTTATTTAATAAGGCTCTGGGATTCATTCAAAGGGAAGCTTTGTGAAGCAACTGAAGTCCCCTCTGAATGTCTTGATTGTAATGTTGAGGTGCTATCTCCTCTTGGAAGCTGGCAAAGCCTCTTTGAGGATTTCCTATCATTTGACCAAGCATGTGCATGCACAGATGACACTTCCGTTAATGGGTTAGTTGAAGCAAATGGATAAATAACAGCAGAGGAATGTGGAATCACTCTGTTCTCTATATTACTGGGATGTGACTGTATTGCTGTGAGTTCTAGGCTTCACTTAGGCATGAAAACCAGCTGGGTGACTTCACAGGGTTAATTTTGCAGGGAAAATAGGAGGCAGGAGTACTGTATTAGGTATGTTCATTGCTTTGAATTGATATACATGCTCAGACACAAAATAATAATGTGTTAGTGCTATGAAAAAAATCCATTCTGACTCTTAGTTAGAACTGTATATAAAGTCTTGTTTTCTACTTGCAGGTTCAGATCCGACCTTGGAATCTTAGTGACAGTGATTTTGTGATGGATGGCTCACAACCTCTGGATCCACGGAAAACCATTTTTGTAGGCGGAGTTCCACGACCCTTACGAGCAGGTATGGAAAAATGGCTTATTGACTTTGTCCAAGTGACCTTGCTGTTAGGAATTTCTGATATGGAAATATGCTTATTAACTTTTGCTGACATTCTCATTATTTTCAGATAGAAGAACAGAAATTTAGATAGAAGAGTAGAAACTCCATTGCCCAGAGCCTAGAAAAAAGGGGGATTTATTATGCATATTTGTTGTTACTATATTTTAGTGGAGCTTGCAATGATAATGGATCGGCTGTATGGAGGAGTTTGCTATGCTGGAATTGATACTGACCCTGAACTGAAGTACCCAAAAGGAGCTGGGCGTGTTGCATTTTCCAATCAACAGAGTTATATAGCTGCTATCAGTGCCCGCTTTGTTCAGCTGCAACATGGAGAGATAGATAAACGGGTAAGTACTAGAGCATATTCTATTTATTACACAGCATTCTTTTGTTGGCTTATGTCCATATAAGTGCCAGTTCATGACAGGAACAACAAAAACAACTGTTTAAATGCAATGCTGCCCCCCCCCCCCCCCAACCAAAAAAAAAAAAAAAGAATTTTTTTTTTTTTACTGCCTTTTGACTCCAAAACCAGTTGTTCCCTTTAGAGCCATTTCCAACAGCACAGAAAATAAGCCTGTGCTTTTAGTGTTATCCTTTTACATCTGCATGACTTGCTTACTATTAGCCTTTCTTTCACCCTGCCTGAATGCTTTGTAGTAGAACGGGCAGCTGCTTTATCAAAGCTAAAGGCATGCAGCTCCAGTATGTTTCTGCTGGATTTCTAAATTTCCTTGCACACATTCTATTTTAATTCAGTATAATCTGTACAGCAACAATAGTCGATTACTTAGACATCCAACTCTGTTAATGTTCAGCATATTTTCACAGCCAAAGTCAGCAGCAATAAGAATATCTTTGCAACAGAAGTTCACTTCTCCTTTTATCACATTGACATATACGCTGGAAAGAAACATGTGTTGTTTTGACACTGTGTAAGACAGCATTCCCCAACCTTGTGCTCTTCAGATGTGCTGAGATTTTTAACTCCCAGAATTCCAAAAGCTGTCTGGGAGTTACAGTCAGGTTAGGCAAAGCTGGTGTAAGAAGTTATGAACCATTTCAATTTTTGCTACAGTGTTTTTCTCTTTTTCTCTGTCAATCTGAATTGTTCTAACTCAGCAATTTAAAATGATGCCATTCTTAGATAGAAAAAATAAATAAAATGAATATTGATTTGTGTGGCTTGTCCTCCCATTCTGGAAGGCACGAAATGTTCTACTCCTCAATATGTAATAAATTACTGATGCTAACAGAATCTAAATATCTAAGCAAGAAATTAAAACATTTCTGCCATAGCTTTTGGTAAGGTGAATTGATTCATACTGGTAGGTAAATCATGCTATTGTTAAAGCTGTGGCAGCTTTGTATGGTACATATAAATGTAGAAAAATTTATAAAGCGCAGCTCTCCTGTTCCTGCATTTTAGATTTTGATATAATATGATCAAGGACTTCCTTAAATGTATCTTCTTAAAATTCAGAATTTATCTGTGGACATCCATACTTTAACAGTTACAGATATTTTACATGTATAGACATGTATACATACAGTACATACATACACAGTTGTTAAATCACATTTATAGCCAAAGCATTTATTCACATGGTGTGTAAATGGAGTCAGGATTAATTAACTGGTTTATTTATGCATTGGCAGTTAAATTTTAACAATTTGATACAGAATATCTTTTGAAATTTATTTTAAATAGCAAATGAATTTGGTTCAATTCTCCTACCTTCTAATGATGAAATGGTAGGAATAAGTTGCACTTTCCAATTTTTCTGATTTGGGGTCATTTTTCTGATTCTGTGGTCCACATGTGCCTCTGGAACTCTGATATCTTCACGTATGGTAAATATGTTTCGTTCTATAGAAGTAATAGACAGGTATGTCGAGGCATTTGGACTTTCATACCTGAAATTCTCAGCAATAGCTATGATGGTTGGAGAATTCTGGAAATTGAATTCCCATATCTGCTCATTGACAAAGTTACAAAACAATGCTAAGGTTCTTATATAACTATTCAGTTTTTATCTTTAAAAAAAAATTCAAGGGGATCCATTTGTAGATCCTCCAAATTGTGAAATTGTTTATTTAGAAAATTCCTATTAATGAATCTTAAATCAAGGAAAGGGGTAAAGATTTAATTTCACCAAAACATTCTAAATCTCTAATTCTCAGGGAATGTCTCATTGTACTTGAGTGATTCAACATGATCAGAATTGAAATGTCAATTTAGTACAATTACTAATTTAATCAGATTCCCCTAGTGCAGTGTTTAAATAACGGGCATAAGCAGAGTAAAACTCAACAAATTTGAGAAAGGTCTTTAGCTGTTTCATCAGATAAGCACCTGCCTCAGTAGAAAGTATAGATTGTGAAACCCAAAGTTAATTTGATAGACATCTTAAATAATAGGGAAGTGTCTTCTGTAGGTAGATATGATGCCATCTTGTACAGGATGTGGTAATGGCCACAAGCTGGGATGGTTTTAAAAGAAGGTTAGGTAAATTCGTAGAGAGGGTAGGTCTATGAAATATAACTCACCAAAAGAAATGTAATTTCCTGAGGCGGTTTTTTCTTGCGTTCTCCACACGGACTCCGAACAGGCGATATGTTCTAGACCCCAATTTTATTCTTTTCACATTTGCGTGATAATGATTGGTATACGATTGTCCAGTGAGCTGGACCCAGCTGAAGGGTGAAGCCAGCCTGTCAGGATCTTTGTGCAGTATTTAATACATCTTTTGATGGAGACCATACAACAGAGGAAAGCTACTGCTTTTCTGTTTTGCTTGTTCAGCCAGTCCTAGGGAAAAAAATCCTTAGCTAGTTCCATGTACAGTCTGATCCAGCAAAGCTCTTTTTACTGCGCAGGAGAGTGTTCACTGAGGTATCTGTAGTATCTATAGTTGGATGGTAGAAATATATGAAGAGTAAAAACACACACACCTGGACTACACTTTTGTCTAACAAGGCCAAACTTAAGAAATGTGTACATTTTCTCTTCTTCTTTCATCACAGGTGGAAGTTAAGCCATATGTCTTGGATGATCAGCTGTGTGATGAATGTCAGGGGGCCCGTTGTGGTGGAAAGTTTGCTCCATTTTTCTGTGCTAATGTGACCTGTCTGCAGTATTACTGTGAATATTGCTGGGCTGCTATCCATTCACGCGCTGGCAGGGAATTCCACAAGCCCCTGGTGAAAGAGGGAGGAGATCGCCCAAGACATATTTCATTCCGCTGGAACTAAGTGATTACTGCAGTGTGTTCATATGCAGGCCCTCAAAATAAGTGCACTCTTCTGTTCTCCTGATTCCTTTGCCCTCCCTTCCTATTCCCTCTTACTCAAGATAGCATGTCCTGCTGTTGTAGTCTGTAACTTAAAAATAGTGTAACAAAAGAATGGCCTATAATCCTATAGGTATTTTGTAGAATCTTGTCATTAAACTTTATGGGGAACTCCTTTTCCTATGGATAACACAGTGCATGGAAGCCAGGTTCTCTTACCTTCCTGGTTCCCCAGAGGACACTGCTTTCCTGCTATCTTTTCTTGAAGGAAGAAAGAACAATATTAAGAGAAATGAAACAATAGAGTATTTTGTTTTTTAATTAAATTATTGCTAATAACAAAATCAATAGACTACTTTTATTAAAGTAACCATGAGATAGGAACACTATGAATCTTATCTGACACTTTGTCCAACCGCCCCGCCCTTTCCTTCTCCTTGCCCCCTTCCCTAGCCAAGCCTCTGGGAAGCCTGTTTTCTTGCCACCGATGATTTTATAGCAATGGAAACAGTTAGCTGTTAAATTAGTAACAGAAAAGAGCATGTTTAAAGCAACAAAAATGCATGAGCAAGGTTTAAAGCAGCATTAAGTTTCTTTTTTTGTTTGATGTAAGGGTTCTGAAGCTAAATCTTTAGCACAGTATTGTGTCTCACCGTGCCTCCAACTTCCCACCACATTCAAATTTTTACTAATTGAGTAGGCAGAGCTTAGATCTGTGTTCTTCATCCAAGCAATCACATTTTTAAAGTTCCCGAATGTAAATCCTGGGTCAGTTTATAACTGGGGGGTGGGTGGGGAGTGCACTTATTCTTTATTATTGTGGTTGTTGTTGTTGTTTTGAAAGAAATTTCATTATCAGAATACAGCCCTACAAATCCTACCAAAGCTAAAGTAATGACAACTAGTGAACTGGCATGTCCTCTCCTGAAGAACAAATGTATAGATTTTATTTTTGATGGCTATATAGAACTCTATATCCTAATTTACTAATGTAAATCAGAGGCCAGCCTTTGCTCTCCATTTTGACATGAAATACAAGAACCTAAAGATATACCTCAAGAGTACATTTTAATCCCCCCTATCCCCACCCTCCCCCATTCTATTAATCCACCCTTCCAGTACATATCAAATTTTGTCTAATTCTTGGGCTTACTCTGGGATGTGAAACCAGTTCTAACCTCCTAACAAAGCTGTAACCTAGCAATTTATAAGAGGGCAAAGTAAAGTTTGTTTCCAGGGATGTTTTGCACTGTTGGCTGAATGAATAGGCATGCATGTCTGCAAAGGATATGCTTGTCTTTCAACAGAGAGCAAGTGAGTAAAAGGAATCCTGACCCCAAAAAAATAGTTTGGGATTTAGCACAGAACATAAACCATCGCAAGACTCCAACTTGCTGAGTAATGCACGAAGTGTTATAAACATGTAAGTGAGGAACACAGCATATGCTAAAGCTAAGGCACAGGGTGGTGTTGATTAGATTGAAATACAGTTGATGCTCTGTAAATCTTGAGAAAATCGATAGGAGGGAATGTATCCATCTCTTAACCACAGTAACAGGGTTGTAGCAGTGTGTAGAAAAAGCCAGTTGGAATCTGAAACTGGCATGATACCACCATAGACTCTTAAACCAAAGACTTGCTTAAGCACAGCTACAGAGAAAAGGCATCCCTTTTGTAAGCTCTTTTCCTTCCCGTCCCTTTCCTCCATTGCCAGTTACCTATCAGAGGCAGTTTGGTTTTCAGTACATGATACATACCCTTGTTATTTTCCAAAGGTCAAAATGGAGACATTTGCTGTCTACTTGTCAAGTAGAGAAAGGGAGCTCCTTTTAATGAATCCCTGCAAATATTGACAACAGGAAATGCAAATGGAGAGTGCTCTTTTGTAGACTGTCAGGGACCTTTTTCTCTGAAGTACATAATTATAGTTGGAATATTCCTTTTAATTTTTTAAAAAAATGCTTGTAGGTGGCTTGGGGTGTCTTATTGTGCCGATCCTATCCAGTGAACAGGTGAGATGGGTTACCATTACAAGAAATAACACTGTTTGAGAAGTAGCTTTGAATAATAATTTTTTCCCTTTGTACATGACCTGCTGAATTTCGGTACAGTGTTTTTGTAGCTAACTTATTTTGTCATGCACATAATGTATATTTGTTATGCACTACTTTTGTATATCTTGTTTTTCCAACAGTGAGCATTTTTAGGCACACTTTTCACTGACGGGATATCTCTTTATGCAATACCTCAATTTTTCATATTGCAAAGAGTAGCTTTTTGTACTTTTATTACTGAGAGATCTTCATATACTTCATTTTTTAATATAAATAATTTTAATAAATTTTATTTTCTTATATTCTGCTTTTTATACATTTCAGTGCTCTGCATACATTTTGAATTATGGATGTTGTGCACTGGCAATGCTATTTTAGAATTTGCAGAGAAAAGAAAGCATGTTGCTTAAACATCTTTAGCCCAGCACCAGGTATTTGGTGTACATATAATTTAAGAAATACTTATATGTAAAGTTGAGACTTAAAAAAAAAAGAAATTTTTAAAAAGCATGAAAGTGACAAATGAGAGTTTGTCTTTAGACTCTTGAAATTTAATGCATAAACCTAGAGTAGAAGTTTAACAGTAACATCCCAAATTGTCTACTGCTTCTTAATAGATTTTTAAAAATAATACACAAATGCAGATGTTTTTTGGTGAATGTTTAGCCATTTTTAATCTTAACAAATTGATGTTAGGTGTTTGCAGAGATGTGTCTGCGCTTTTAAATCATATTTAAGGAAATAAACTCAAGCCTGCCCAATGGTGGGCATGTAATGTTAGTATGCATGACTAATATTAAAAAAAAAATGTTATTCTACTAATATTCACTTGTGGTGATTGTGTGAAAAGCGTGTTTACAGATTATTTGGTTACACTTCAATTTACAGGGCATAAATGATTATCTCTATTACTCTGTACTCGAAATAGTGCTAATATAATATGTCCTTCAGATTACATGGAAAGTGGAGTTGCCATGTCACTCCAAGCATAACTAACATGTAATTAGTTTAAAAATCCTAGGGTATCACTTTATTTTAAAGGGGTGTAAACAAGCATGTCATTTTCTTTCAGAAGCATGGCACTGGCCATGTATTTACAATGTAATTACAGAGTAATTACATGGTTATTTTTGCAATGTAAAATAAAGTGTTTCTGATTTATTTTATATGTAAAAGAACCCCACTGCCCCGTGCTTTTTTGGTATATAGTATCTACTTCTCCATACACAGACCTCTGCAGAACGCAAATCTAAAACTTGCAGTGAATGACTTTAGTGTTTTATAAGGATGCTGTTGGAAAGACTTGATAATTCACCCCTTTTTGTTTCTTGAAGAGTTAAAGCCTTCTGTTTTAAAAGGTGATTTAAAACTTGAATGTGATGAATTGTGGCAAGTTAACTTCAAGTTATGTGCAATACTTATTTCAGACTTCTGGAAGATCTTTGCAGTGTAATTCTTTGTTTTTAATTGCAGACATTTAAAAATGTCATTTTCTACTGTTCTAGTAAATCCTCTTTCTTGCTGGTGTTTCTAAAGAAAAGAATCAGAAATCAATCTTTCTACTAATGTAAATTTGAGATTATTTTTTAAAAAAAGGAATAAAAGAGGTTTTGGTCATTTGCTTTATTTTATTATCTTATTTTAAAGCTACTGTGATTGATAGCATTGTAAGAATTGGGACAATATTGTATTCAACTGTTTTATTTTTTATATTTTTAAAATTTAAAGTATAATTAGTTTTTATAATTTTCATCAGATTCTTTTGTTATATTTTTTGGAAGTGAAACTTTTAGCAAGTGGGTGTCTAGTTTTTACTAATCCCTAATATGTTTTTCCCCAATGTAATGCTCATATTATCAGAAGGAAAAGTTATTTAAGTATGTCAGTTACTTGTACTACTTGGCTGAATTTCCATATAGTTTTTACTGTGTATGGGGAGGTTGTAGTATTTATTATAGCATTTTAAATAAGGGTAATTCATTTTTTATTAAAGTCATTTTCACAATTTAAGTTCATATTTTTGTATGTTCTACTCTAAGTTATAACACAAGTTTCTTTTTTTAAGAGAGTTCATTTGTTGAAGTGCTAGTGGAAAATTAATGTTATTAAATAGTTTGCAAATGACTATTTATAGCAGTATGCATATAATTTTTAAATATTTGTAATGTGAGATGTTGAATGAATAAAACTTTTAACTCAACAGTTGCTTGGTCTGTTATTTTGAACTCTTATAACTTGTGCCCCTCTGAATGGAATAATCTACCCTCATTAGGTATTCCATTTATGCTCTCCATAGCTTCTAGATTGTACAAACCAAAACTGTTACTGGGGAGGGGGGCATTTTTAAGGCTCATTAGTTTAAGGGACAAAATGGATGCTAAAAGCTTGCAAAGGTTAAAGAGACCATTAAAAAGTGAAAATACCCTAGAGGGTATTTCCCACCTGAAGAGAAAAATTGCACCTATTTTACCTCTCCCCACCACCACACCCTCTCTGTTGATATTACATCACTGTCCATGATCCCAGGTTCATAACTTATGAATGATTGGTAGGTTGGAGTAGAAATAATTAAAGTACAGAAGCATTGCAGTCTCAGATTTTAATCCCTGTTCATCCCTTAAGTGCAATACTTGATTATAATCATTGCTCAGTATGATTCACATTTTTAATACTGCTGTTACTGATAAAACCTGTACAACAGT